CAACCCCAGTTTGTACTTACTTGATATACTTAACCTGGCCTCACTGCAGTGTGACCTTTGTCACTCCAGTCACTTGACCTTTCTTAATGACCTCACCACCTCTAAAATTAAATCCACCCCTCCTCTCACCCTTCAGCTTTAAAGTACCCTTACTACGTTCCATTCGTCAAGAAACGCAATTTGTATTCCCAATTCGGCTCCAACAACTATTTAGTAAATTAACCACTCAACCGCGATATGATGAAACTATAGCAAATGAAGACCACTCCTTCCTCAAAAGCAACATCTGTCCCTGATAAGTTTGACACTATTTATTTGAATTTAAATTAATTATTAGAAACGTATATGATGTATCATAGAAGCCGTTATTGCAAAAAACAATAAATAATAATATGTACACACACGGCAGTCGTGCGCTATTGAAATTTATCGATTTTGAACAGTACGAGCTACCGTATTACTGTTATTATGATAAAGGTACCTATAGTATTGTGCAGCGCCAATTCTAGTCGTTCACCACGGGGCAGCAACTCCGTGATTAAAAAAAACTCCAAGACAAATTTTTATCTCCGAGTGCACATTATAATATGTACAGCCGTCCCGGAAAATCATAAGGACATGAGAGAAGCTGTATATATGTATGTACCTACCATAAGAGTGAAGCGGCATAATAAATAACCGTCCCCATCCCCCTCCCCCCAGCCTTAAAACGGAGCGTCGTCTCGTAAACATTTTCCAAACTTATTTTAAGTAGACGACGTTGGCTTAACACCGCTGCTGTGAGGGTCTCGCCGCTTCCACCCAACCGCCCGCGAGTGCTTCCATACACGTTTTCTGATAAAACTAATTGCGTTTTTGGACCAAAGAAAATGTATGAATTAAGCCCTAATACCTATATAATAATATATACGAGCAGTTTTTTTTTTTTTTGATCTTTTCGGCCGATAAGAGTCGCCGCAACTTACGCAATTTTACACATAATATCCGAGCATAGATAACTATAATAGCCGAAGAACTAAAGTAAATTTATATTGCTCGGACTGTTAATATTATTTCCGTTGAGGCCAACACGCGCAAAGAGAGCGACACTATTCATTTATTGTGTGTGCCTTGGCCAACTGAGTGGTTGAAAGATAGGTAGGTACCTACCATTTAAGAATAACTCATCGCGCAGAGTGAGTATAAGCACTGATTGCTCTTTCAGAAAAATAACAGAATTAGCTGCGACGTTAAACGAAATTAGTCTCCATCGTTAGGTATCTAATTTAGAAAGAAAAATGAATCTAACTAAACGTTTGAAACTTCAAAACTCAAAAGAAAATTATTAAGCATCACTCATCATGTACCCATATTATGCGTTCATATGTGTATAGGTACGTTAAAGTCTTAACAACAGGTTCATAAAGTATTGCCACTCAAGGCAATTGGGTCACACCAATTATTGTTGTGTGTATACTTATGGACATCATAGTCTTTAAGTATATTTGATATATAATTGCATGTATTATATACAGTTGTATGATAAAGTTTGACAAGAGTTGAATATTTTTTACACACGTTTTACGCTTACTTGTGGCAACATGCGCGTATCTACAAAGTGATTGACAGACGCTATTTTCAGACAAGTACCTATATCGGTGCCTATTATTCGATTCGAAATATCTCGTCATTTGCCCTCCGCTGTATTGGTTATTATTCTATACGTTCGTATGGAATATTATGTATTACCAATAATGTTTGACGCATTATGTCCGTGTCAAGACGTTTTATTAAAAAAAAAAAAAGATATATACAAACATATAAATGTAAATACTATTTGTTCTATCCGGTTTTAAGATGTTCAAATGCAGTATGTGTGCGACTGTCGGTTTTTTTCAATCTTCACTGTTGATACATAGTCGTCTTATTGTTTTTTGTTCACAATTTATACGTCGAATTGCAGATACAGTGTTCGAAACAACATATATTGTTATTAAAAAATTAAATACCTACTTCTACACCGATCTTATAGGGTTTTATGGTAAATTATACCAATCCTATATCACAGTAACTTTTGTTTGACTGCGGATGAAGAGCGTAGAACAATAATTATATCATCATTTTCTGCATGGTGCGACAAATAAAATAATAAAACTATACCCATCGTTGATGGTTAAACTGATGCGAACTCGATGGCTTGGTGTAGTTTCCAGATATTTAGCAAAATGATAAACCATAAAATGATTTTCGAGACAGCTTTAGTGGGCACATATTATGAGTGTCAGAGAACTTGCGTTGCATCAGTGGTGGAGCGTTAAACAGGAAATTAAGATACCTATTATTTATTATTTTTTAAGTATATGTGTTTATAATACATTGTTTTGTTGGCATATTTCAGATTTTAAAATAATAATATATTCTCGTAAATGTAATATCATATACTTGGCTATAGGTATTAGGTACGACCATAATGTGCTGATACGAGACAAACGATAGTAAAATATACTAATAAGTGGGTAAGTGCTTTGTACACACAAACCGAATACAATATAACGCTACAAAATTATACTTTTTTGTTACACAATGTAAGGGAATATCAGAAGGAATTTTAAAATACCATCCGAACACGGCACGTAGCATAATATAATATGATAAACGTTTATATTTTCTGTTTGAAAAAAGTGAAACAATAACACGCGTGTTTACATATTGTATAATATATTGTCTGCAGCTAGGTTTGTTTTAATTTTTTTTTTTTTAGAAAACACGCAGTTCATAAACCTAGTCGAGTCGGTTGACGTCATATAAGCACGAAAATAACGTATACACTTTACTAATGTCACAATCGATATCCAATGCATATATTTATCGGATTTCGTTAGACGCACTCGTATAATATATTATATTAACATGAGCATAATATAGGTAATGATATTATACAATACGTGTAATCATCCAAAAACGTTCGGTCATACGTATCGAAAGCGACGACGTTAAAATGCACGACCAAGCAACAACAATAATATTGCGATAATATGTTACGATTTATGGGGAAGCAAAATAGTTTAAAACACTGATTCATAGATCGTAGGTAGAGGTATGACGTGTCCCTGACACAAACGTGAGGTGGGTGTTGTGTACCCGCCTACCCAGCTACCCTCCTAACTTCTTACCTCCTTACCGGCCCGTATACCTCTCTACATATACCAACCTATACCTACTTTTACCTGTCTGTACATACATCGGATTTTGCCGGTAGCACCACACGACGGCGATATCTGTGCGTCCGTGTCCGTTTGAACATCGCGCCCACCCCCTCACAGCACTTTTGGACCACCATCATCTTCGTCGTGTAAAATAATAAACACGACACACGGTCATCTTGACCGCAGTAAAAAATCGTACATCGTCGTATATAATGCAGCACAATGCATTATCCGATAATGACATAATAATATTATAATGCACTGCTGGTATATAGATCGTATCGTGCAGTTAGGACTCGCGGTGAGCTGAGATCATATTGCGATGGTCGCTGATAATGTTTTATTACTTTTAGGTATACCTATATAATATTATGCGCGTACGTAAAAGCCTCACTCGGTCGGCGTTCGACAGACGATAATATATTGTGCACCGTCGTGTGACGTTTCGATCGGAAGACGAAATAATTATAAAACTGGTACGAGTTTCGGTTTTTTTTTTTTTTTTTTTTTGATGATCTTTACAACAACTCGGCAGCAGTATTTTCTAGTTAAACTTAACATTAAAATATTTACAAGATTTTGTAATTATATTATCCTTATTAGATTATATACTATTTTATTGATTTGATTGGTTAATTTTTTAATAAGTTCAAAATGTATTCTTGTTTTGTTCAAGGTTGCGTTCAAAGTTCAAGCGTCTAGACTTTCTTTCAGGTTGGGATAATTCCGTTAAGCTTGTCGATTAATAAGTGCGCTTTACTGCGTGAGGTTAATACCACATGCTTCGCATAGTATCGGAAGTTCGTCTTTTGCCCCACGAGAAATCCGAGAGTATATCTTGTGTGACCGACTTTCAATCGATTAATTGATCCTATATTCCGCTCAAGAGTCGGGTTTTGGATTTTATCAGTCTGATAGGTAATAATATATTACGAGTATTATGACATTACAAAATAATAAGTAGTGTCATAAAATTATTGTGCGATGAACAATAATAATAACAATTATATATTATATCTCGCACGCACCACACCGTTTGCAATACCCGCTAGTTTCTTATATTATATAATTAGGTAAATAAATTAAATCTTAAGAGCTTCTTTCACAAAACAATTCTTAATATTAAAAATTAGTTTTAAATATTGGGGTGTATTTAATTCTTGTTTTTGGTACATTGTAATAATATCATTCCGAGGTACTACATGTTACTTATTTATGATAGTATACCTATCAAATATTGCGTAATAAATTATTATAATTGGTTAGTTTTTACGAATTACAAAAACAGTTTTTTCGGCAACTAAAGTACTTGATTGAACAAGACAATATATTTTTATCACCACAATAGCAATGTAATATTGACAATACTGTCACTCTCAGATAATATTTTAATATGGCCTGTACATATAGCAGAGTGTTTTTTTGTTGCATTTCGTTGTATATAATATCATGTTTTAACTAGGTAGTTAAAAACTCCTCTTACATATATTAGGTTTCTCAGGATTAGAGTTTTTGTTGTTTTTTTTAAGACTCAGTGGTATTTTTTTTGTTACACAACAATTTTCAATAAAGACGAACGTACATTGTATTGTACGTGTAAGTACTTCATAAAAAAAACTAATTTTCTTTTTTCTCCTGGAATCGTATTTAGATCGATCCGAATTGATCTATTTTTTTATCCTCATTTCACATTGTCCTGCGCGTTAGTACGTATAATATAATATATTATTATATTGTTCCGGTCGGTATACGTCGTCGTGTAGAAAATTGCGTGAGAAGCGCTAAAAATGTGTTCGAAACACATAAAGTTTCAAGTAGGTTGCGTAAGCAAAATTCGTAGCTATTATTATTTATTACTAATATTTTTTTTTCACCCAGCATAGCGTTCGATTCGAGAATTCTCTAACCAAGAGGAATAGCGCACGACAAGAGGTGAAACGAAACGGCAAATTCGCGAACGAAGTGCTACAAAATTCACCATTTCATAGTTAGGTATGTATAATTTATTATTATTATGGTTTTCACGACGAGATCTCATTGAACTGATAAAAACGTATGTTACCCTCTATCTTGACGATCTACAACTCGATAATGCTATGCAAGACATGGTCGAATTGAAAGAGGGGCGTTGTGTGCCTATCTCTCTCCACTTATCAAAACACCTTTATTATTCGGTGCGCATTTTTATTTATTTGAAGGAAAAAAAATTAAAATATTTAACTTAAAAGAAAAAAATGGTAATAGTTTCAGACGACTACTGTAGCTGCAGTATAACCATATATTCATCTTCACATAATATTATCTACCGATATTTTACTCTGTTAAATTTCTGGCTTAAATTATAGCCTACTCGTTTCACTCCCAAGTCCTAACCACAACAACCATTAATCTAAATTAATTATATTTTTAATTTTTTAAAAATGTAAATAATTTAGTCTTAATTGAGTTACCACTTATTATTATAGTCGTAGTATATTATTATATGTTCTTGTATCAGTTTTAAGTTTATTTTCGTTGTATTCTTTCCACTCTGTCACGATACGTTTAATTATCTATTTTTTTTTTTATTTTAATATTATAAGTATTATTAATATTTTAAAATAGCTTTCTAGTATTCTTTAAATATTTTGTTTTACTATTCTTTGTGTAATATTTTCAACCACCGAGGTAGGATGTAACACTGTTTGTTCAAGTCTACATTAAAAAATAATAAAAAATATTAGACTTAATATGCACGCCATAATAATATGCTAGACTATAATAGGTAAACCATACACCGATGAATAAATAATAGAAATATCGAAAATACCTGGGTAAAAATATTTAGTCAAACATCTCATACAGTAGGGTTGTACCTATTTAAGTCTTATACTGCCTGTGTATCGATTGTATTGAATTTCTTGTTTTACATATTTTTGAATGACAGTCGAACCTGCAAGCACCCATAGTCGGGTACTAGTATAGTATTGTCGGTTTTCAGTATATTATTGATGTTACGATATTAAAACATGTTCAATTGACGTTACAATAATTAATCTTGTGAAATACTATATAAAACACACATTGTTATATTTACTCGACTTAATATTTTTTTTAAATCTCTATTATACCCTGCAGCCATAATAATGCATATCTATAGGTATAGGCCTTCTCGTTTTTTCTTTTGCCTTCGACTTTGTTGATCACAGGTCTTCAGTTTCACTATGTAGGTATATACACAACTACCCCTCGTCGCAAAATACATCGCTCGCGTCCGTGATGAAGGCGGTCGCCTCCATGGCAGCGGACAGTATAATGGATTGCATGCGATCGTCGACATCGTCATCCTCCGAAAAGGGAATCGTGTATATACTATATAATATAATATATATATATATATATAGTCGCACGGAGTCGGTTCAAAACTACACGTTTGTCGTCCACAGTGAAACGATGTCGGCCACGATAACTGCACGATTCGGGTTCCCGCCACACCCTCTCGGAGCGCATTTTACGGACGATTTGAGCGGGGTGAAACATTGTGCGGATACAAAAGATCGTTTCGAGTACAGGGTGATTTTTTTTTCATCGTGAACGCGGCAACGTCTTATCCAGCCATTGTGCTGTGATTTTGCATTGTCTTTTTATTTTTTTCAACTCTTAAGGACTATTTTGTTCGTATTCAAATACTTTTACCCTCAAAATTATGTACCTGTGCGAACCAAAAAAAAAAAACACATAGCAAAATCGTATATTGTTTAATGGCTGATCATGGATAGTAACCGCACGGTTCACAATAAATATAAAAAAAATCAGCACCCTGTACTGAGAACGAGTATTTATCGCAGTACAGAGATCTCGACACGGTCGATCAATAATAATAATAATAATAATAATAATAATAATACGTAGGTACGTACATATTGTACCTACGTAATATATCTTTTTCATCACCACGTAAAAAATGTTTGCCCACATATCGTATACTCGTCCGGAACGTCATCGAGTCTCTTACATTGTTATTATTATTGTTCGTTTGTCCCTCGGAAATCTGAAAAACAGAAATAATTTTTAGAAATCAACTCCAAATATTTTGAAAAATTATTTTGAATTATAATAATTGATTTTGGATGAAATTCCGCTGTGCGTGCGGCAGTTCAGTAGGAAATCGTTCAATACGCCAGCTTATAAATAATATAGAACCTACTCGATCCTATATAACATAATATATTATATACGAATACATCCGGGCCGGGTCGAACGATGAAATCGAACCAAAAACGGAAGTAGGAAGTGCCCGCGACTATACGATATAGTAATACTTGTGTTTCGGCTTAATGCAGTTATGCGCATCCGTTTGTGCGTGCTGACAAAACGGATATCGACGTATCGATAAACCGTCGGGTGATATTCATACGACTAAACAAGCGATAGCGATACGATAGCATGTTTGAACGTGCACACACTGGCATTATATGGATGGTTACTGCACACATGCGGGACCGAATGCGGAAGTTTATTTAAGTGATAATTATTATAAGATTTCAAAAGACGGAAAGTCATGCGTTTAAACGATCCATAGCGCAGATCATGAAATTGCTTTCTGTATATAATTAGTTAAATGACGCTCCCATAGATAGAGGGAGAGACGGCTGAATAGATAGGTTTGAGAATTTTATAGGGCAAAGCACGCACATCTATATATATATATATAATATAAGATTTAAGTGCAGTCGAGTCATATAATGAACTACACTGCAAGACGATAGATTAACTCGGAAGAAAAAAAATCCTATTCGAGCGCACTTTTATCTGTTTCTATAGCAGACAGCTTTTTTTTAAATTAAGTCCATTATATATATATATATATATTATTATGTATGTACGTACACCCCGGAAACGATTCTTATCCGCACTGAGAAATCAGTGTAATTGGCCCGTTCGGCCATTTTTATTTTGCTTTATACTCTTTTCGTGTTTCTGTATCTCATATGATGTATTGTACTCATATTCCACCACCCTACCACTCATAACTCCGTTATATGTGACCTCCGGAAATACGACAACTGAACCTTTGAGAAATCATTCGGTTTTTTTTTTATTATTATCATTATTATTATTATTATTATCTTTTTCACTCAAACATGTAACGTACGATAACACCACACGTATTGTCTACTATAATATAATTGGCCGCATCGGTTTTATGGTCTGAACGAAAATCGTAAACGCACAACACAAAACATACGTGAGAACAATTGCAGTATTATTATTGGCCCTAAAGCATGTGCACTGTAGGTTTCATATTACACTCAATCCGAGAATATTTGAGAATATTACATTTGTATAGCCTCGCATCTGTCCTATACAAAATTTCTATTTTTTACTATAAATACTAATGACATAAAATAATTATCGTAACTTGTATTTACATTATTCCATGATTTAATTTTCAAACCAACCCTTTATCCTTAAAACTATACATGCAATCTGCTATAAGTTCAGTTACAAAATAATATCGTTTTAAGGAGATTTCGCACTCAATCTAGATTTAAAAATTGTATGAGTTCCAATTCGTTTCACCGGAATAAGAACATATATTCCGAATCGTTTTTAAATGATTTTAGACTAAAAATTCAAATTCTTATTGAGAATTTGAATTCGAATAAAATATATTTAGTGTGTCAAAGACTGTGTATAAATAGTGAGTATGTATATACATATATTTTTGTTAGATACCATCTGTATAATATAATCAATACGAGCAACGTTTTCTAATGTTAAATATGATTTACACGTTTCTGATTTAATCTATCAATCAGTATTTTATGTAAATCATATTAAATCACACAAACTGGATTAACTGACGTGCTCAAAAATAAATATCTCAACTTATTAGGTAATGGAAGATCACAAGTACTTAATATTATACAACACTATAAGTGAATATGCGAAAAAATATAAATAACGATGTTATCCCGCATAATTTAAAATAGGTTATGTTTAAATCATTATAGTATCATGAACTCTAATAAAAAAAAATAATAATAAAGGGTAACCAAGCGAAAACTACCAGAATTTGTTAAAAGTTAAAATGTATAATAATGGACGGATACTAATACTTTAAAGTTGAGTCTTATCAATTTTCATAATGCTGCTACCCAGATTATAGTATTATAAAAGAAAACGATGCTTAACCAAAATTGTTTTCACAAATTTAAATACGTTCTAAATTAAGTTTTCTCGTGCCCTGTATAGAGTTATATATTTAAATATTTGCATTCAGAGGCGCCTAAGACTTTTTGACATTAAAACGACCTGAAGTTTTTATTTACCATTCGATTACTTCGCTAAGACTTACAAGTTAATTAATTCATTTTCCAAGTATATTCTTCGAAAGATTAAATGTAATTATAATTCTCCAAGTAGCACTTTATACATAGTGAGATCAAAAGGTTTATTCATCATAAAAACCACCTAAGACATTGACAAAATAATATAACTAACTAAAGTTGCATAAAATTACTAAAATAATATTCAGTACCAACTTCCACATTCATTGATCAAGATATTGTAATATAGTGTATATAACAGTTAACATTAATTAATATGTACAATTATCATATAAAAAGATAAATGTTATTCCTTACCCTGGATTTAATTTCATCCTTTTGAATTGATTTAAATATTTTCGTTATTTTAATATTTAATAGACTCCTATGATACCTCATCTGATATCCGGATCACTTAAATAATTTGTTTTAGACGTTCGGTAAGCTCAAAATTGTAGTTGAAGATCATAAAATAATTGATATATAATGATTTAATATAAACTCGTAAAAATGTTTATTACTTGTAAAAATCCATAATATAATATTATACCTCTGAAATATAAATAGATCATATTATTATGCAAAGTCAATTCAAAAATGTTCAGAAAATCGTAAAGTATTCAAATAATACTTTTTACATCTGGTTGTTGGTTTCAAAGGGTTATTGATAAACCTTTTTGTAAAAATACTTTTTCAATCTTTGAACATAGTGATTTTTCTTATTTCTTTATAATATTACTTCATAAAAAAAAAAAAAATACTTCAATTCGATCTATTTCATATACACGGACGGAGCTAGGATGTGCCTGCCTACCTACTCTTTTCAGATGAATTTCAATAATCTTTTCACGGATCCTTCCTTATCGGCATTTATTACGTCTTGTCTTATATCATACATATATAGCTGTTGTTTGTTGATGATAATATAAACTAATACCATTTGTCAAAGTGAAGGATGACCTTTCGCTGCGCATGTTTCCTAGGTATGTTTAATATATCGGGAAATCCTTTAAGCAGTTTTGAATCCTTTTGGCCGCATTAACAGCTTCTCTGCCATCCCTTTTATAAGGGAATAACATATATACGAGGGTGCAGAGAGATCCGATCGGGGTGACCTATCAATGTCAAATAACAACACACATACGCAGGGATAATGTGTCATGGTGTACGAGTTGTGAGTTCGCCGTTCGGGATCAGTAACTGTTGGAAAAAAATCACAAAAAAACCGCCGGTGAATTAAACCGCTCATTTATTGTGCCGCTGGCAAGTATGTATAGCGGAGAAGATTTTCTCGAGAATCGCGGCGGCTTGTGTACACCGCCGCGTATAAGTAACCCAGGAACGTCGGAAAAGTATACTCATAAGTCACCGTTACCGGGATAAAATAGACGGCTTTAATCCGCCGCGACGCATCGAATTAAACTTTCAGTCCATGTATTATTATATGTGTACAACGATGGAAATGATTTGCATTTTTCAAACGTCCGCGGTGTACGTACATCACATCAACTGGCCGCAGCCGCTCGTCTCTCCGAAATAATCCAGCGAAGCGTATTTGACCGGTTTACGGTCTCCGAAGCGTATATACGTATATGTTATACACATTATTTATGTCATGCACACATCCATTATCGTCCAAGGCCACGTTGTTCAGCCAGCGCAACGAATTCGTGCATATAGTGACTGACCATGTCCGAGTCGATTTTATAATACTTGGCCCAACATTTTTCAACCCAACCTTGGGCAAACACGAAATCACCGAAATGAATAACGACGATTTTTTTTTTTTTTTTTTGATGAATAACGATCCACGATCTCAGACGCGGGTGCAGCTGTTAATGCGAGTTTGATTATATACAGTTTTATGAGACAGATATTATTATCACTACTACACCCATATAGGGCGATAACTAAAATGTGATATCGATATTATGTATAGGTACAAATACAATACTATGATAACATTTGGCCATTTAGACAATATTACACAAATGTGCATTACAAAACGATGTGCATTATAATCGGTATTAAAAACAAATGTGACACTGCACCTGTGGTATAAACGTGTCCACACATAAATGTATGTATATTATTAAAATGATTAATGAAACACTCCAAGACTTCAGCTCGTAGAGGAATAATTATTATTATCTACAAGACTGAATTGCAAATGTTTATTTAATTTACGTGCATAGCTCTCTGCAGTCTAAAAAAAAAAAAAGTTCAATAATATACCTCCGTACAACGTTGACAATATTACACTGTATAGCATTTAATACAAATTTGACGAGTAATTAATATGAGTAGTATATGTTTGTGTATTTTGGGTAATCGGCCAGTTATATGTATTTATGTTTAGTATTGACTTTTCACTGATATGTTTTTAAAAAACTTTATAAATATAAAATATATAGGTTACATTTTTTAGCTTTTATAAAAGCTGTTGTGTTTATATTTTTACCAATTATATATACGTCTATAAATTATCAGACGAATCGTCATGAATTCTGTATTAATTAATTGACTGACTTGTTTGTGAAATATTATCTCATATTATTTAGCGGACGGACGCACCTCGCTGTTCTTGAGAAATTATACAATAAAATGTCAACAAAATATTGTAGTAAATCCGTGGATGATATACAATGATGTGTATAATATGCGATTAAATAATAATAATAACGAATTATTAGGGCCATCGGAGGAACTAGGGTAGTTTCAGGCGTACACCATTTGTTCTGTAGTAGTCACTAATATTATATTTATATTATGTTTTACGACTGTAAAAATATAATGAGACTAATTAAAACCATAAAAAAAATCAAAATGTGGTATAGGTACACATAACTAAGCATATGCATATACTTTTGTACTTACCTATATATATTTCTCGTACCACACGGTCTGCCTAATATGCACATTGCACATGCAATTGAATATATATTGAATGCTTATATTTTTGGTTTGCAGCTGTTGTAGACAGATGAATGATGCGACGTATCGACGCGTTACACGGAAATCCCGGCCAAATGTTTGCAATGGACAGAGTAATATTATTGCAGGCGGTAAAAGTATATTGTTATATTTCGATAACGTTTTTGCTAAAAAATATACTCGTATTATAGACGCACGCGTGAGACGGAATCACCGGATCGCGTCGATAGTTTATGAAAATCGTGTCGGATAGTCACTCAATTAACCAGCCGGAACGGTGCAGTATAACGGTTTTATATAATATACGATATATCACAACCGAACTTATTGCATCAGAAATCGTTCTAGGATGATGTGCGCAAACCCTATTAAAGTTCGATCTTCAAGAGATTTCATCTGACACTTGCCGGTTTTGCACGAAGAAACGGTGCATAAGGTTACACAGTTATATTGTGGGACTTGAAAGTTTATAAGAGATAAGAAAGCAGGGGAGTCCAAAGAATTAGATAACAGACCTCTTAGAAAATACTTGCCTGACATCCGCCTACAGTCAGCATGAGAGAGTCTAGATCAAGAGACTGGAGTGTAATCGTGAGAGGGACTTTGCAGAATGTCGAAAATATGAATATTATAATACCCTTCGTGCAGCACAAACGTCACGATATTACACATAATAATTCATCATCCAATATTCACAGAGGCCAGAGAATAATGTCAAATTCTAGACGACCGGCATACAGCAAAAATATATAGGACCTTATTCTGACACAAAAATAATAATTACTTTGTTTAAAAAAAATTGAAATGTACAACTTATTAGCTAATATTATTATGATGTAAGTATATCACCCTTTATATATTAATAATCTAAATCTGAACAGTTAAAATAATAATGTTATAAGTTAATAAACTTGTAGTTTATGCTGAAACAATAATATTTTTAAAAAAAAATATTGTATTAAATTTTGATAACGTTTTCGCTAACAATATACTTAAGACGCTCACGAGAGACGGAATTATTGTCATAACACGTCGATAACTTATGGAAATCGTGTCGGATAGTCTCTATAGGTTTATGTACCAGCCGGAACGGTGCAGTGTAGGTCTTAGATTTAATATATACCTATATTATATATTATCATAACCAGAACTTATCTCATCAGAAATCGTTCTCAGACGAAGTGCTCGGAAACCGATAGTTTTTCAAGATATTTCCTCTGCAGACGTTTGCGGGTTTCACGAGGAAACTGCAGCGTTTAGTATAATATTACAATACGTTTATATAAGATGTTGTTTATATGTGTAAGTATATATATATTATATTATGTGATTCTTACGCACACGGACAGAAAAGTTTTCCTCTCTCGGGGACCCTTAACGACTCACGAGTTAAGTATAATACGTGCGCTATTATTGTTTTAATTTCCCAACGCTGAAGATATATATAGGCATTGTCAAAATAAAACGTATACAAGATGAACGCGAGGGGATCGTTTATCAAATTATTTCCTCGGGATACGAATTGGAACGATATTGTGTCTTCAAAGCAAAGTAAACTATAAAGACATTAATAATTTGTTTGTAATATTATTACTATTATTGTTATAACTTTTTTTTATTAAAATTATAATGTTTTTTTTTTTTTTTTGCTAACCCAAACGCAGTAACTATAAGCAAAGTTTTCCAAGCATATTCGCCCAAATGATAATCAAAGATACGTCAAAAAAAAATATTGCCATTATAAAAAAAAGTACGGCTGCTTTGCAATTTAACCGCTTAGAAGCTACATATTATAGAGTCTAAAGAGCTTAATATTTTTTTTTAACGTGCAATATCACCGTTCATCATTAATCATAATAAAGTAGAAATAATGCGCAATAACAAAAATAATATTTATTAAATGTAAATGATAATAACCAGATAAAGAAATATTGTGTACCCGTTGGCTGAAAAGTATTCAAACGATAACAATGATTGTATGAGATATGATAAAAACTTTTATCTACATTTTTATTAAAAACGAGTTGCAATTTTTATAGTTCTACAAATGAGATATCATACCAAATAGGATATTATTAATAATATTAAAATGAGAACTTTTACAAAGGAAAAACTTTTATCCTTTGTACGTTTAACAAACTCAGACATTAAATTATTCTACTTTAATGTTGGTATTATCATCTTTGAAATGCATTTAACTATTTAAGTGTTCATACCAGAATAAATATAAACAAAGTCCTGACATTTTTCTTCATACATGCCAACATTGTACAAAATTGAATTTTTTTTAATAACTTTTACAATTCGAAATTATTATGTTAAACAAATCAGTAAAATAATATTTAATGTATTTATGCTCAATATTATATGTTACACGCGTACTAACCAAAACGCAAGTAAGTTACTATAATAACAATAATATTATATCTGCAGCCAAAGTGCCAAACAAATATTACATATCATTAATAAATAATAAATAAGTAGTGAAAATAATAGTACAATTCACCTTTGAAGAAATCTATTTTTACAGTCATATGTAACTATTGAAACTAATTTATTATAAATAACAAAGTTTAAATAAAAAAAAAAAACAGTTATATGAGAATAGAGAATTGAAGTAATAGAGAACGTTTTAATAAAGTTCTAAATCTTAAAGCATCATAACACTTATTATAAATATTTTTGGAATACTTACTTATTTATTTATCATATCTATCATAGTTCCATTAGTTTATAATTGAGATCAATTATAATTGAAGTTTATATTGATTAATTCTGAAAATATGACAAATCAAATATTTAAATCGTCTTGTCTGGAAAAAGCTTATTTATTTATGTCAACCAACTCAATGGTGCTATCGATGAAACATTATTCTTTATTCGTGGTATTTGTTTATACTTCGTCGATACCTCTCGGGTACGACGTGCATTCATTTCAAAAATAAAATGTTTGTAACACGGTGATACAGATAGGCAATTTAGGTACACTGCTGTCGAGGGTGTAATGTTATGGTATTATTTATTGAAAATATTCCAAACATATTTTGTTATATCGCTTTGACGTGGCTTCGTGGATATCAAGACTTATAGCCTCGAAACTTGAGCATTACTCTCTACACTTTTTGTCAAATGAATTCGACATGACGTCCCCTGACATACACTCTCGAACCGATTTACCAAAGTCCAAAAACCGACCACTTACTGCAAGACAGTATCGTGCAAATGCACATCAATGACGTCAGAACTTCACTATATACGTCGCTTTAGTGTCGATGCCTAACTTCCTATGAACTATACAGGGCACAGTTTAAGTCGATTTAACTATCGTCATGTCATACACCCTAAACAATAGGCGCACCAAAGTTATCTATAAAAAAAATTGGATAAACATTTTAATCGTATCTCGCACCTCCGTCTACATCTAATTCATATACAGACTTATTAAGTTATCTATATAATAAGTAGATACTCTCAAGTTATATAAAAATGGTAAATTCGATAGCTTAACATAATACGCATTGTGTTATTATTAAAATATAAAATTATATGGTTAGAGTGGCGCCACTCACTTAGACACTTTTTATTTCATTTAATGTTCATTTAGACGTGAGGGTTATCAAACGTGATGAAATATGAGAACTATTTCCAAGTTTTTAGGCTTTCATCTTTCCAAAAAAATGTAACCAAATACATTTCTATACGTTTTATAATTTGAATATTTTATACTTATAGACCACCAATTTACATTGTAATATCAGTATAATATACATTTATGATAATTTAAAATGTTTATTATCGTTCTGGACAAACCGTGTTCAAATTTACTAAGAAAAAAATATTAAATAAGCAGAGATGCACGCAAAAGTATTTAGAATATTTTATATACTTTTATCCCGATTATAAGGTCTGCGCCAAAATAATAATCTTAGATGTCGATTTTAATTCATCATCTAAACGATAGTATCATTAAGAGGTATACCTATAATAATTTTAGCTTTTTTTAATTTCTCAGTTATAATGCACAAGTCACGTCATATCATCACGTGACTCGTTGAAGTAAAATATAGTAGGTATTATTCGTAATAATATATGCATACTATGTTATACTTATTATTGCTAAGAAACTAGAATACTAATGATTATGAGCGAGATGCCGATATTTATCAATAAAATGTCACCAACATCATGATTACTATTCTGATTTATATAATATACTAACGAGCCGATCATATTTCAACGAGCCAAAAACAGACTTTGCATTTAATGACTCGTTAACCAATAGTTGAAAGAATCGATATTATACGGACGCATTCGCGTGCTCTGATATATTGGACGTTTAAGTAAACCGAGTTTAATTTTAACGAATCATTAGCGCGTTAATCGCTCATTATAATTGAAATTAACTTTCTACCATACTAAAACTATAGCCGCTCAGAGATTTTAATGTACATTTTACTGGATTCCGGATGGTCAAATCTCAGTCCCCCGACCCCCTCGCCCAAGCACTAAACGGGGTATTACGAGTAAAACTTGAAATTAAACACCCATTGCGAGTAGATCTTGAGTTAACCGTTAAGCTTCAGTTAAGAAACAAATGGTACATTTATTATAATTATTCGTCATTGACTATATTCATTTTATTACCATGTGGTTATAATAAAAATCTCATTATTGCTATTGTGGTAGATACCTACCGGTTTCCATTACCTAATCAAGTTTTAATTTATACATTTATTTATAGCCTCTAAGATTATCGTGTTTAAATTATCATAATAATAAAAAAGTGATTTCAAAAGTAATAAACATAAATCTTTCTAATTCACTTTAAAACAACATTATGCAAATTGTATTTCATAAAATTATTGTTCTGAAATTCAAATTAACTACAAATCCGTTTAAATTGATTTGGTGTTAGTTTAAATGACCAGGTAAATTAATATGACGTGTATATTTATAAAAAATAGTAATATAATACATTGACAATTGAAATATTGATACTGATGAATACATGAATAGAAAGTAGCTAAACTGTAGTACTGTTTAATACATTGAAAAAATCCTAACTTACCATATGTTCAAAAATAAATTGTTAATTTAAATTGTATCCTTCAAAAATGTTTTTTTTATATACAGTTTAATACTTTTATTTGGATCTATAATCTATCAGAATATTTATACATTTTTAAGGAAATCTTATTAAAGATTAATTTTGATTTGATTTCGCCATACGCAGTCTATTTAATAACCGTTTATTAAGAACGGTGAATATTTATTCTTACCTTGTTATTCTATACACCTTATTTTATTTAATCATCTAAAAAAAGTACTATTTAATACGATATTTGTATATTATTTACTTTACTCTAATATATCTAGTTCGATTATTTAGTCCGATACCTTTTATTTTATGTTTGAAATATTTTATTATGTTTATACTACATACATTTCTAAGTAAATAAAAAAATGATTATAATATTTTTTTATTGCAATAGATTGCTTATTTCCTTATTTTATGTGAAAATTTATGTGTTATCACTTATCACTGAACAATATTTAAAAATCTATAACAAATTTCATTTGTTTTACACAGTAACTATATACATTTATGTCCAAACTTGCTATCATCTGATTAACAAAATCAAAATGTATACTTATTATTATTTCATATTTTATTTTTTTGGCATACATTTATAGGTTATTTATGATTGATAAGTTTAGCGACTGTGGATATCTTTATGAACGAGATAAAATTTTTTTATAAACATTTTGGTTATTGATATCATAGTACTTTATCCATATGACTTGCGAACATATTCATGTTGTCTACCAA